TATCTCATATTACACAAAACTGTATCCCGTTGTAGAATCCATATAACTCAAAACTAAGCCTCAACCTCCTGATTTCTCTGGAGCCAAAAGTTAGTAAGTCACCCTTTAGCAGCCCAGAATAATATCTTGAACTTGTATTTTAAATAAGGGAAAAGATTTCTGCTTCCAACAGGTTTCTAAAAAGTGAAATAAGGAAATATATTATCTTGGTATCATGGGATGCTGCCATTACAATCACTATACTTCTGTTCCGGAAACATGAAAAAGACTCCTTTTTAGAACATAAGAACGGCCATACTGGGTCAGAGCAAAGGTCCATCTAGCCCAGTCTTCTGTATGTTCTGACAGTGGCCAATGCTGGCTGCCCCAAAGGGAGTGAATAGAACATGTAATCATCAAGTGATTCACCCTTTGTTACCTGTTCCCAGCTTCTGAAAGAGGCTAAGGACACAACCCCTGAGCAACCTGGATAATATCTATTGATGGACCTATCCTCTGTGAATTTATCTAGCTCTTTCTTTGAACCCTGTTAAAGTCCTGGTTTCATAACATCCCCTGGCAAGGAGTTCCACAGGTTGACTATGTGCTGCATGAAGAAAAACTTCCTTTTGTTTGTTTTAAACCTGGTAGCTATTAATTTCATTTGGTGACTCCTAGTTATTGGGTTATGGGAACAAGTAAATAATTTTTCCTTACTCACTTTCTCCATACCAATCATGATTTTACAGGCCACTATCATATCCCTCCTTAGTCTCCTCTTTTCTAAGCTGAAAAGTCCCAGATTTATTAACCTCTCCTAATGTGGCACTTGTTCCCTACCCTAATTATTTTTGTTGCCATTTTCTGACCTTTTTCAATGCCAAGATATCTTTTTTGAGATGAGGCACCCACATCTGAACACAGTTGTGGGTGTACCATGGATTTAGATAGAAGCATTAAGATATATTTTTTTTAGTCAGGATAATACCATTTGTAGAAAACTGCATTGACTTCTGTATTGCCCTCCTGTCAGCTGTGAGTGGCATAGTGGTTCTCCTTTTCTAGTACTCTATCTCTCTGAGTGGGAAGCAGGAGAACTGAGGTCTGATGTTTACATTGAGTTCCAGTCCAGGGACTACTGGAAAGGCTATCAGGGTTATTCCAGCAGACTACTTTCTGTCCCTTCCATGGATGTCCTACCAAGTCTTGCCTTGGTCTTTCTCCTCACCTGCAAGAGCAAACTTTGTTTCCTTCTGGAGTCTTCACTTGATACTAACAAGGAAGTGATTACAGAGTTTCTTCGTACAGCTTTCTTGTAGGTTAAACTTCCTCTGCCTCTACTTCCACCACACCTCTCCCTAACTGGTTTCATTGGGCCTGGCACACTCTTCAGGTGTGTAAATTGGCCTCTCCAGCCCACATGTATACTTTCATCATCTGTGTAGAGTAACTGTCTAAGTTCAAGAAGTAAGCAGGGTAATTCCTGGCCACAGTGAACTGAGAATTAGCCTTTCAATGGCATTTTAAAAACTATGAGACTCTGGGAGCACTTACAAGTAATGAACAACCCACAACACTCCAGGTACCTTCTCTATAACTGTGTTCAGTGATGCTCTGAACACTTACTAGGTACGGGGTATCTTCCCATTCGCCTTTTCCCTGGTTTTCTTTTTCTTTTCATAACTCTTGCTACTTACAGGAACTCCCATAATTGAGCCTAGAAGCCATCAAACCCCATTCACTGACCCCTGATGCCAGCTATTCTCCTCACTTCATCCTTTGGAACCTTCATCTGTCTGAGCAGATTGCTCAGTTCCATAGGCTGGTGGGGATAAGTAATCCAAATTGTGACCTCTCCATTCTCATTGTGCTAAGGTATCTTTTGATGGCTCTTTTTTGCTACAGCAGTTCTTCTGTGTAATATTCTTCATGAAAACTCAGAAGACTGATGTGAGACTCCCTCCCTATCTGTGACTATATGCTAAAATCTTCTTAGGAGATGCACTTTATCTGAGTGATGTCGGGCATTTCACAACCTTAAAAAATAAATCCTATAATCTGGAAAGATTGGAAATAAAATGTATCAAACAAATTCTCTGCCTGTTTCTGCAAGTCTATGACTCTATAACATGGTAAATGTGGTGACTGTCTTAACAGATGACTCAAATTCACTGAAAGGTTTATTAGTCGTTCACTTGTGAATTATAAATGCATCTGTTTTGTCTCTTCTTCAGGAATCTTTTATTCGTAGCTCGGTCTTGCATATTCTGTCTCTTGTTGCCTTTCTTCTATGACAGAGCTTTGAATCCAGGCTATAGCAAATAAATGCTTGCACCGCGTAAGTGACTATTTTAGCATAATTTTGCAATTTAAAGTGAAATGCATTTTACTTGCTGATATTCAGCAATCCTTCAGCTACATATTGGAGTCAACTTACAGTCATCAGGTAGTTCTGGGAATCAAAAGAAATCTTTTTGAATATCTGATTTTTAGTCTGAGACTTCACTGATGGGGGTTTCTGCTAAGGAGAAACACAATCCACCTAGAACAACACATACAAGCCAAAATTGAGAGAAAAAGGGATGAAGTTGTCAAAAGTGCTGGATGGACAGGACTGGACTGAAAGTTCAATGACTGTTGAACTGTTATATTGTATGTAAAATCAGACACAGTTCTTCTGCCAACTTTTTGAGATGAGAAATCATCTGTAAATCAGGGCATCTGACAGTGGTTGTTCTGGTGATGTCCAAGTTGTTCAGTAGAACTTAGATGGAGCCCATTAATTCACTTCACGTGGCCACTTCAAGTAGACTTAGGCCAGTGATCTTTCAGATCCAAGATAAACACTATGGCTGTGTCTACGTTGGCGCCCTTTTCCGGAAAAGGGATGCTAACGAGACACTTCGGAATTGCAAATGCCGCGAGGGATTTAAATATCCCCTGCAGCATTTGCATGAACATGGCTGCCGCTTTTTTCTGGCTCGGGGTTTTGCCGGAGAAAAGCGCCAGTCTAGATGGGATCTTGCGGAAAATAAAGCCTTTTCCAGAAGATCCCTTATTCCTTATTCCTACTTTCAAGTAGGAATAAGGGATCTTCCGGAAAAGGCTGTATTTTCCGCAAGATCCCGTCTAGACTGGCGCTTTTCTCCAGCAAAACCCCGAGCCGGAAAAAAGCGGCAGCCCTGACAGCCTATTTGCCTCTAGCAATTTTCATACGTTTCGTAAAATTCAAATAAAAGATTAATTCATATTGGGGCTCTACCAAAGAGTGGCCAATTCAGGTGACGCTTGTAGAACACTCCAGTGACTGGGTTGTAAGAAGAATGAATAAGCTAATTTTTCCCCAAATCACCATATAATCCCATGTAAACAACTTTACAGTAATAACACCTATTTGCCTCTAGCAATTTTCATACGTTTCGTAAAATTCAAATAAAAGATTAATTCATATTGGGGCTCTACCAAAGAGTGGCCAATTCAGGTGACGCTTGTAGAACACTCCAGTGACTGGGTTGTAAGAAGAATGAATAAGCTAATTTTTCCCCAAATCACCATATAATCCCATGTAAACAACTTTACAGTAATAACAATTAGAACAGATGATCAGGCCTGCATGGAGCATTGGTAATGAAGATGTGCAGAGTTTCATTTCTATAAATAAACTAATCACGTGAGACTTGATGCTTTAATTTAACCCAAATGATAAAATCATATTACATTATTATTATTAAATAATTATTTCATTTGATCCAGGATAAGAACAGATTTTGACTGTTATTTAAATCTGGCCATGGAATATTTTCATTCCAGCATAAAATATTGTTGCTCTCTCTTTCCCCACTTCGACCCACCTTCATTTTCCACTGCTCAAAAAATTGAAAGTACCTGCAGAAAGTCATTTATTCATGTGCTGGAAATGTGGAAAGGAGAGCAAAATTGGTGACGGTTTGAGGAGATTTAATAATTCTTTGAATTTCAAAGAAATGATTTTAAAATTTCAGCGAACCAAAGGAAGAGGAACAAGAATAAAAATCTGGAATGTTTTGACATTGTTATTATTATACAGGCAGTCCCCGGGTTACGTACAAGATAGGGACTGTAGGTTTGTTCTTAAGTTGAATTTGTATGTAAGTTGGAACTGGTACATATTATAGGGGAAACTCTAGCCAAACATTTCTCCAGAGCTCAGTTTTATTCTCCCACACCTCACTTCCCTCAGTCCTTTATTCTCAAGCTGAGGTGTCTGCTGAGAAAAGCCGCTCCGCGTCTCCCTGGTCTGCTGTGGGGGGCGCTAGCTTCGCGTCTCCCTGGTCTGCTGGGGGGAAGCAGCTAGTGCGGGGTTGCCTCACCCCGTTTGTAAGTAGGGATCCGATGTAAGTCGGATCCATGTAACCCGGGGACTGCCTGTATACAGATTTGTCTGTTGTTCTGCCAAGCTCCTTTTGTGTTTGAACAGATAACAGGCCAAAATGACTAATCATTTTACATTTTAAAAAAATCCTTTTTTCTGTAACACTAGTGAATACATGCCTCCTAGACATTGACTGGTGATCTGATTATTTATGAACTTTCTTCCTTTCAAGAATATTGCCCAAGGTGGAGGTGAGATTTCCCTATGTCTATGGAGGAATCTAGAATGAAAGTGCTGTGACAGAGAAGTATGTGAGAGAAGTCACTTTGCCTTCTCTGTCACAAGCACTGATGCTATGAAAGCTTTTGTCATCTGAAACATGTGTCACTTAAAGGGAGACTGGACATGCACCATACACTTCCAAAAATGTATTAAATATTAATGCTCCAAATGGTGAATGTAGAAGATTGGCTTTTTAAAAGCTTTATGAATTTTCATTTCTTAAGGGATGTTTTATGCCAATGAATTGAAGATAGGTCCTTTTAAGATAGTAGATGTAGCAGTATCATCTCCTTAGTTTACAGCACTAATACGCATCAATTTTTTTAAAACGTGATTTTTAATTTCAATTTGCTTTTTATTTGTCTGTCTATTTCTCCTTCTCTCATAGGTATATTATTCCTGTGGTGCAGTACTGGAATCCATGGAAAGAGGCCTTATTTTATCACCAGGTTTTCCAAATAACTACTACCCAGGGACACATTGTGTTTGGCAGTTTTTCATTCCTATTAGAACCCATCTTATCTTGGAAATTCTTGACTTTGATGTATTTGAGAGCTCAAATGAAGCTCCAGACCCATGGGATGACTTTTTTTCTTCTTCTAAAAGAAACAATAAAGAGATGTTTCCTATTGAAGAAAACTCTGACCGTCCCAGCGCTCTTGCTACTACACAAACCTCTGGTCTGGCAGAAATCTCAAAGGCGAGCCAGAAACATAGCAGCTCAGGAGCCCAGCCAAAGAGTCTTGCTGGCCACTATGATGGATTCCCCGTAACTACCTCCAAAAAAGAAGAATACAAACAAACATATGAAGAAAAACCGTTCAGACAGATGGAAGAACCTAGGGAAATAGCAAAGGTGCATCCAGATGGACTGCCATTCACTGTGGCTGGCAGTACCACTGTTGTGCAGCAAGATATCAGTGGTCTAGAGATGAACAGAGATTTGAAAAGGAAAGTCCTGCTTGCCCACCACATTGCTAGAAGGAGAGATGAGGACAGTGGACAGAGTCAGACTGTATCAACTGTCTTACCAAACATTAGATCCACCACCCAGCAGTTATCTGCAGATGTGTGTCCCCATGATGTATTATATGTTTCTGACCTCATCACATTTTCCTCTCGATTCTGTGGCACAAACTTGCCTTTAAACAAGACCATGGTCTTCAGTTCCTCTCTGGAGATGGTAGAGGTAATTATGGAGCTCATAACTACCACAGACCGTGGGAGGGGCTTTGCAATGCTCTTTGAATACAAGAACATCACAGAAACTAATGTCCTGGATGTAGTGATGCAGGATGAAAAGGAAAGCACAATGATGCTGGCAATAATAACTGGAATAGTTTTCTTTGCCCTGGTTCTTCTGTCTACTCTCTGCATAACTTGCAGGTAAGAAATTCTTGATGATCTAAACTTCTCAGTAGGGATATTAGATATCGGGTAATTGAATAGTCGTGAAACCTCATTAATTCTTATCAGTAACATGACTATTCAGTAGTCTAGGGGTTGGGTCCAGCAGCCAGTGCACTCTGGCCCCACTCCTGAGGAGTCCCCTGTCATTCCACCTTGTTGTGTCTGTCTCAGAGAAAGCAGCTTGGGTACAAGGCAGGAGCCAGTCCTTGAGGGGAGGCAGCAGTGCAGGGTGGCAGTAGGGGTGGCAGCAGCTCCTGTCCACAGGGGTCTGAGCTCCCCACAGACAGAGGCTGCTGTGGAGGGAGTGTGGGCTGCTGCAAAGCAGCCTCTATCTACATGGAGCTAAGACCCCCGCGGACAGGGGCTGCTGGACCACCCTCTGTCTGCAGTGGGCCCAGGCTTGCTACAGACAGAGGCTGCTCCACGGGAAGTGTATCAGAGGCAGCAGGGTGAGGGAGCAGGGCG